ACTCTCGTGCTTTCTCCATGATCCAGCGAATGTTGGCAATTTGATCTCTAGTTCCTCTGCCTCTTCGAAACCCACCTTGTACAACTGGTAGTTGTCGGTTCACGTACTGCTGAAGCCTAGCTTGTAGGATTTTGAGCATAACCTTGCTAGCATGTGAAATGAGTGCAATTGTGCGATAGTTTGAGCACTCTTTGCCATTGCCCTTCTTTGGAATTGGAATGTAAACTGACCTTTTCCAATCCCAAGTTTGCGTTTTCCAAACTTGCTGGCATATTGAGTGCAGCACTTTAACAGCATCATCTTTTAGTATTTTAAATAACTACAGTTTAGAGAGGGAAAGGCTATTATAGAAAAGGTTCTTGAGTCCAGGGGAGGGATGAACTGTGAGAAATTCCCCTTAATTATACCAGGTATATATGGAATAATTACCCTATTAGCAATAAAGATCTTTCCAGAAATCCAATTGGTTCTTACTTCCTGAGTGTGCCTGCCACAAAGGGCTTTAACAGTCTACCACAAAACTTCTCTGAATAATATGAAAATGATCCAAACTCAATCCCATAATGAGTTGTATTAAAACTATAATAGACTAAAAACCCTGTCTTAAAACCTCATTATCATGCAAAGAGGGTGAGCCGTTGCTGATGGGGGATTGAAGGAAGTTTCCAAACTTCCAGAAGCCCCCAGGATACAGATGTCTTCAGCAACTGCAGCATTGTTCTTATTGCAGCAAAGTCTGAGTGTGGGCCCTTTGAGCACAAAGCCAAGGCAGATTCCTTCAATAACCTTGCAGCTTCTCCTGCAGATGTATTGTTGGGCCCATCAACATCTGACTGACTGCAAAGAGAGCACCAAGAAATCTTGCTGATTTCCTGAAACATCACTGCTAGTGCTCAAAAAGAAATGACCCCTTTTTCCTTAAGAAAACCCTAACCCTCAAGAAAATAAGGATATTCAATATTATTATTCTTCAAGAGGCCGGGGAGTGTTGGAGCATAGTAGCCCTTTACATTGGGGGCAGTTTCAAATACTAAAGATGGGAGATCATCAAGCAGCCTTAGCATATTCATTTCAGAGAGATTACATCTAACCAATCTTGTATTACATCTATGCACTACCACACCCACTAATGATATGAGTTTCTCAAGCTGTGATTATGCTTTTTATTCAGTATCTATATTTCTCCCCAGTATCTATTGTCCCAAACTAATGAAGTATGGGACCCTTTCCAGGAATACATTTCTGATCTACTTGAGTTGTGATCAGATGCCATCATATTGGTATTTGTCTGCTACATTTTAAACAGTATTTACTATTCCTTCCTTTGTCCTTCCTTTGGGACACATATGCCTTATTCTGAAGAAGTGTACCTTGGGAGGAGGCATTATGGGGAGGGTGATCTTGGCAAGTGTTAGGGTCACTTCCACTTTCCCTAAATGGTGACAGATCCTCTTCAAAGGATACTTAGCACTATTCATCCATATTTGAGACAACAGAAACTATTATCAGTATAACACTTGCTGCCCCCATTGCCAGTCCCTATCCTGCAAATGTAATGATGATGCCAAATGGTGGTTGTGTGCAAGGCAAGCTAAGAAAAGGGGTTGGTGGCTTCATTTGGGAAGATATTCTTACTTTACTTAACTTAACATGGGATGGATCTCATTAATGTGAAATGTGACAATCCCTCGCCAGTGCATGTCACCTATTTTTCCAACTAGTTGATAGGCACTGACCAGTCAGCTCTCTCCTTCTGCACTTTTCCAGCCTTGGCAGAGCTACCTGAGCTGGGCTGGGTGGCAGGAGAAGTGGGGAAATGACACTTTATCCATTATCTCTGATTCCATTGTTGCACAGTGAAACAGGAGAGATCCTGCTTCACCACACAGCCCCCACAGTGACTGTCAGCTGTTTTTCAAGCTACTTTTAAACAGGTTTACCACTCTTCTGAAAGGCCATTAAACCACGGCCAGGCTGCTTTTGAACATGAGTTTATCACTCTTCCAGAAGAATGCTGGCCATAGTAAAAGGTAGCCCAGCTAATAGCTGACAACGGAGCAAGCAGTTGCTGGGTGCACTAAAGAGAACTCCCTCTCACTCATAACCACTACCCCTGTGCCTGTCAGCTTTGGTGGAGGCAGGCTATTTTTAAACATAAGCTTGGCACTCTGAAACAGCACAGAGAGAGAGAGAGAGAGAGAGATTCCTTTCTTTCCTGCTTCTCTTCCAAGGTTCTCTTCCAACCCCACTCTCAGCAGTTGTTTGAGTTGATTAATTCAGAGACATGGCAGGGAGAGAAACAGACAGTATTTCTGAGGTTCAAGTTGACAGCAGTAGTGTTGACTGTCTTTAGAAGTGCTTAATATCCTTTCTCCCAATCCACAGTAACAACATTCTTGCTGGCCACTCACTGCTGCTCTTCAGTATTAGTAATCTCTTCCAATCCTACTCTGCTCTACGATATATCCTGTAGCAGTCATCAATCCATCTTGTGTTGTGCTACTGCACTTTGTGCTATATGCTGGGAACATGAAACACAGAATAATGGTTCTAAGTTAGAGGAAGGCCTGATTCCAGTTAAATATTAGGATAAATCTTCATAAAAATAAAAGCAGTTTGAATGTAAAATTATCTAGAGAGGTAGACTGCATTCATTGGAAGTGAACGCTGAACACCCATCTACTGGGCATGCTTTAATATGGAATCCTGCTTGAACTCAGTAGCCTAATGGTCCATCCTGAAGCTTTTATTCTGCAATCTTGGCTTCTCACCTTTTTTCTATTATAGAATAAACATGAAGGGATATGCATATAATTGATAATAATTTGAACATAACCATACTCATCTGAGATTCTCTCTTCTTTATCAGTTTTACCTTTTACTGTTAGGACTTCCAGCCAGTAACAATAATAAAGTGAGAAGTTGCAACTGTTTGTTGTTCACATCATGTGATCCAAAATAGCATCAAGAGTCATGTATTGCTAATTATTTAAATAATGTTAAAATATGTACTGCTTTTAGTGTAGAATGTGTTAACATTCAAGATGGTTCAGTAAAAAAAATGACACCTTACTCAGATGTTTAAAAGCCACAGATCACATACATTCATGTTATCCTGTTACTGCAGCCTAAAACAGTAATTCACATTTCACTAATGTTGATCTGGGAAAAGAAAATCAGAGAGATGTTCACCGAATAGCAGCAAATAATATTTTTTCTGCAGAACACATTTTGAACAAGCAGAGTCTTCTGGGTAAAATTCAAGGTGTTAGTTATCACCTCTAAAGCCCTACATAGCATGGGTTCAGGTTACCTGAGGGACTGCTTCATCCCTATTACATCAACCCGTCCCACCCAGTCAGGCAGAGAGGGCATGTTGCTGAC